TTCTTTGATTAATGTCATCTGTCATGACTTGATATATTAGCGTAGGTTTTTTTTTATTTTTGAATGATGGACAGATAAGATGATTTTTTATCTTATCTACCAAATAGATATTTCTGTCTGCGGTGTTCTTTGATCTGTTTGCTGCTGTTTGTTCACTTCTGTCCTCTTACAAACCTCTGAGACCTTCACAGGAAGAGCGGTTTGTACTAGGTTTAAATCATAATATCACCACAGATGATTAGCAGAGTGAATGCTGTTGTTTGCACTGGATTTGATTTAGGACTCCCATTGTGAATGGTTTTGAAGCAGAGGTGAGCAGATCAATCCAAAACATCAAAAATATCGATACCAAGTCGATATCGGTATCGAATTGATACCAGCGTGATAAGATTGATACTTCATTTTCAGATTCCCTCTTGAACTTTTATGTTTTGTTTTGTTTCTCACCTCTATCTCACAAAAGATTTTGTTTTAATTTGGTCTCAAATATTTTTTTTAACTTAATTCATTTATTAAAAACGCACCCAATTGTTTTTTTTATTATTATTTCTATTCATTATGTTAATATGTTTTTAAGGTATTTTGTAGGCATAAATTTTGTCCAAGATCTGTCCTATGTTTCAATAAAATATTTAAGAGGAAAAACTACAGAAACACCTAAAGATTAGGAGTTTGACGTATCAAACTTAAATTTAAAAAAGTATCGGTATTGGTATCGGCGACACTGGCTCTGTGTTTACTTGGTGCCTCATTGATACCAAAATATGTAGTATCGCACATCTCACTGTTGAAGGCAAATAATCACAACTTTTTAGGATTTGAATTTATAATTTTCCCATATTTTCATAAATATATGCGGCTTTGTGCTGGTCTGTCTTTTAAACCCCGGTAAAATGCTTTGGGAGTATGAATAGTTTTACTAGCCAATGTGAAATAGTTCACTCACACTTGAGCTGGAACTGCTACTTTTTTTGACGCGACTCATGTGTGTACTTAAAATATTTACGGTTACTATGTTTGATCTTTAAAGTCACCTGGCGATACACTGAAGCACCTGGACTTCAAACTGAAAGCAACAGCAGTGAAAATGAAACCAGAGCCAACTCGGAGCCATCTGGGTGCTTTTCATCTCAGAAGGAGCTTGCTTAGCATCTGGTGGCTGAGTAAAATCTGAACGGTCACCTCCAGCTGACTGCACAGCAGAGCCTCACGTGCACCAACATTCACACACAGCTGGAACAGCTGCCAAAACAGAGCAGGGGAGCTGGAATTACTACACCAACAGAAGGAGACAAATTTCTGAAATATGCATTACTTCTCCTCGTTTTTACATTGTTAGAACTTAGTATAGTAAAGGTGCATAGTGTAGAATTTAGTGACATCATGAAATGATTGCAGCCAGCTAGATTCTTGCCAAAATACTTCACTGTGGATGATTTGAACAATTTGTCTTCCTGACAGTATTGTATTAGGTCAGCACTCAAGACTTAAAGGGGCAGTACTAAGTGTTTTCAAGCCACATGCTGGAATTTTATAGTGCAATCACGTAACTGTGGTTGTAACTTTGGTTGTTGTAAAAATGCTATATATGTATGAAACATGACTTAGAAGGAATTTGACTTGAAATAGGACCTCTGTCTCCTTAAAAAACTCATGTTCTTTCTGAAGCTCCGCCTTCAGGAAGTCATCACGACATGGCTTCTCTATTTAACTTTAACAATGTTTCTACCAGTGTTGCACTGACAAGTACCTTGTATAATGAGCTCGGGTGATGTGCAGTTCCTCAGGTGTTTGCTAATTGCTGCTGGCTAGTCTGAAGGAGCTGAGTGGGGCTTCGTGATGCAGAAGCTTGGATACTGCAACTAGGAGGAGGAGCTTCGTCCTTGAAAGCAGGGCTAGGTTCACCCAGGTGTTTTCTACAGCTGAATGGTAGCCATGGGAGATTAAAGGATTTCTCAAACAAGCTTCAGGTATGTTATGTTTTTAATAAGAGAATAATATTATAACATGACTTAAAGCTCGAAAAAGTTGATTTTACAACACAGTCAGGAAGTCCAGTGAATGTCCTGTTGACTATTTACATCCATGATTTGTCAATGAATGATTTTCCTGATGTTTGTAGCATTTAAGACAAGAGGAATGTGGAAAACCATCTGAAATGTTGAAGCTCATCAAGAGCAACATGTCCAGGGTCGTCCAGCTGGAAGATGACTGTCTTCCCCAATCTCAGTGTTTTTGAAGCCTCTAATTGGGTTCCTGTGGGACTTTCCTGAATTTGGCCCTCGTCATCTCTGACCAACTTAAATTTCCCCTGCTTAAAAAAATATCTCCACATTTTACCATTGGTATGTTGTGTTCAGGTTGATGTACATCGTTAGTTTTCAGACACACATTGGGTTTTATATTTAACTCAAACAAGTTCATTTTGATTTAACTTGTTTCTTTCGCGCTTTTGCTGTGTTCCCTGCATAGTTTTTGAGGCGAACCTCTTGTCACTGTCTCAAAAAGGCCTGATTGTAAAGTATACTACTAATAGTTAACCTGAAAACAGATTCTCCCGTCTGAGCTGTGGATCTCAGCTCCTCCACAGTTACAAAGACCCTCTTGGGTAATTCTCAGAATAACACTCCCCTTGTTTAGCCACATCTTTGTATGTTAGCAGTTGTGTTTTACTGTTTCCCTCTTCAAATTACGGACTGAATAGAATATCCCAAAATCTCTAAGACACGCTGGAACATTTTAACTCTGATTTCAAACAACTTTCTCCCTGAGCCCGTCTGTTGTGTTTCTTCATCTTCACAATGCCGTTGTCTTTTAACGACCTAAACTGTCTGAAACATTTCATGTTGATGAAAAAGCGATGTTCTCTAGCAAACTTCCAGTTCCGTCCCAGGACAGCTGTGTTTATACCGAGATGAATTTACACACAGATCGACTCTATTTGCTATTGTAATTAAATATCGCGGCATGTTGTTGATTCCATCTAACTGAATCAGTGAAGTTCAATCAGTGAGGATGTTTGTTATGTGGGAAACAGGTGGCACATATGTGGTCCTTCCTCAGGGATGATTGCAGCAGATTTCTCTCTGAAAAACTGAGTGAATTGTTTTCTTTCCCCCTCCCCTGAGAAGAACAGATTGCACTGAATAAAATTTTTATTAGCTAGGGGAAAACGTAAGTGCAGGAAGTGGCCGGTCAAGTGGAATGATCTGAAAGGCTTTAAAATGGAAACCAAAACCAGAAAGAGGCGGGAGAAAACTGAAAACTATCGTATAATAGGGGGGAAAATGGTCAAAACTAAGCTAATAATAATAATAATAATAAGCTCCAGGGTGCTAAAAGATAACAAAAGCTACATTTGGCTGCTGTAGCCATTCAAAGCGAAGCTGTTGGCAAAAAAAAAAAAAAAGGCCTTCAAAGTCCCTTTCTTAAAAAAACGGAGATTAGAACTGGTCAAAGACCTAAACTGTCTGGAACATTTCATGTTGATGTAAAAGCGATCATTTGACTCCTCCAAGCACAAAGCTATGGTGTCCTATGTACAGTTTGAACACATGGAAGTACATGAAGATGACGTGTTAGAGAAAATACCTTTAAAATGTTCTGTTTCTAACAGGACAGCAACCCAAAACATCAGTAGGATGGTCCCAGACCAACCAGATTAAACTTGCAGAGTGGCCCAGTCAGAAACCGGCGATCAAGCCAGATTTGAAGTACCGTATTTCCGCCACATGTTGCGCTATCTGAAAAAATGCCAACGGTTTCTGAAAGGGGAGACGTTGCGCTTTCCAGCCAATCTCGGGTTATTACGGTAATTTCACTCCCGCCGTTGCAGGGAGTGAAGTTAATCTGAGTGGCGCGCTTTTAATAGACGGTAATTTGCGAAAATAACTTGCTAATTATCAAAAGTTCCAGTTGTTACGGATAAATGGGCAAATATGTTCACTCATAGGACATTTAAAGAACTGCATACAGTTAAAATAAGCAAAAACATTCAGGCGGTGAGTTTACAAATACCGTTTCTGAGGCGAAATCAGCAAACGCAGAGGAGCTGATGAATCCAGTCCAAATGTCCAGAGAAGCGATATCAGTTCCAGGTTGGCAGATGTGGAGCAGTTCTCAGAAATAATGCTTATACAACTAAATATTAGCTCACTTATTTACAGGACAAATCATTCTTCAAACATTTTTCAGTTTAAACAGTACTCTTTTTTTCAACTTTTCAAACAGCCTAATATTTATTTTCATTACTTTCTTCAGATTGAGAACAAAGGAGTTCAGTTGTTTGTCCATGGGTTGATTTGTAGCAGAATGTGCTGCATTTCCCGACACTTTTTCTCACTTTTTAAACATAAATATGCAAGTTATCTCTATTCAAACTTGCTCCACCCATGTGGAGGTGTGTAACCCTCCACATGGGGGTTTGCAGGCTTAACACAGTGGAGCCGATTCTCATTTCAGCTCATTGCATCTGAATAGCAGAGGCTGCTGGATACAGTATCTGTCTGTGGGGGGAGGACACCCATCCATCCACAGACTCACACACGCGCACAGTCATTTACAGTGTCTTGCCCTAATTTTCTGTGTGTAATGTTTCCTCGTTTTGAATAATTTCAGCCTCGGCCTTATTTTTATTCTAATCCTCTAAGTTTCTGGCTTACCATGAGATCTTATTATCCCTCCATCCCATCCCTCTTTTCCAGCCGACGCCTCAACTGAAATCAGGAAAATGATCACAGACACAATCTCCCAAAGATTAGCAGAACTCCTTGGTCATTTCCTGTTTCTGTGACAGTTTGGAGGATGCCGTCACTCTCCTCATGAACTCCCTCCTTCACCTCGTTCCTCAGTCCCTCCCTCTGACTAGCCAATCAGACCAGACAGACTTGTCTGGGTATGAAATGAGCGGGCAGTGGGAGGGGTGTGGATGACCAACTGGACAGGACCAAAACCCCTGCCAGCCAGACCGGAGCTGAGAGGCTGAGAGAATCTGAACCAAGATTTGGCTGAGGAAAACATGTTGTCCTCGTTTGTCAGTGAATAGTGTCTGAATTAATCTAATTTCTTTCTGGCTCCTCAAGGGTTTACATCCCTGCAGGTGTAGAGGAGGGAAATTGAGACACAAGAGGAGGAGATAAACAGGAGTAGGAGGGGGGGAAGCTATCAGACTGAGCAGATGTCAGCTTGGCTGGTTCAGACTGGCAGCTCAAACCCGCAATGCTAGCAGGGGGACGGAGGTTTTCTGACCTGGAGATGTTAGTCGGCATGGAGGACGAGCATGTGGACAGCGCCAGGAGCCGAGCTGGGAGCTGCGTGGAGTTTCACAGCCTTAAAGTAAGTTGGCTTTTCCTCTTTTACATTGGATGAACTTCAGACTGAAGATCAACAAGTGGTTTGGGAAATGCGTTCAGATTTCTCATCTTTAACGAGACAAAATCTTTGGATAACGTTGTGTTGACTATGGTTCTTTTTAAAAATTTAAATCCATTCTTCTATAAAAGACAAAGTAAAATGTGTCTTTTGGATAATTTGTTAACAGCACTTTACAGCGTAATTTCTTTTTCAGTAAGACAGAGAATACATACGGTATTTAGGTATTTTAACTCTTTTTTTTTTTTTCTTTTATTCGACCACGTAAGTTGGTTAAGAACAACTTCTCATTTTCAACAATGACCTGCCCAAGAAGTGTCAAAACACAATACAGTAGTAGTACATTATACAAAAGAATAACAACAAAAAGTACTACCAAATTCATCCTGACTAAATGTACTGTATGCACCGACTTTTCAAAGCAGGTGAAATGTTACTGTGGGAGATTAATGCTAATTAATGATCATGTATTTAGTTTTAGTTGTGTTTAAAAGGAAAAAAAACTGGTTAAAAGCTACTGAAACAGTTTTGCAAGGTTGTGTTAAGGGATAAAGTGTACAGGATGGTATCATCAGCATATAGATGGACACAGGAGCATGAACTATGTCACTGATGTAGATTTTGAAGAGTTGGTCCAGTGTTTCTCAACCCTGGTCCTCACCGCCCCCTGTCCTGCATGTTTTAGGTATTTCCCTTCTGCCACACACCTGAATTGTATCTCTGGGTGATTAACAGGCTTCTGCAGTTCTTGATGGTCATGCAATCATTTGAATCAGCTGCTCTGGAATAGAGGCACAGCTACAACATGCAGAGCAGGGGGGAGGTGAGGACCTACCCCCTGCTCTGCATTGAGAAACACTGAGAAGCTCTGGGTTGAGAAACACTGAGTTGGTCCTAAAATGGACCCCGGAAGACATGGACGAGGGTTGAACTGGCAACGTTCAGCTCGCGCCAACGGAAAACGACCCAGGACGTAGCTTTTAAACCAAGCCAGAGATTTTTCTGAGAGATCTATCTCCTGGAGTCTGCTAAACAGACTGTTGTGGTTTAAAGAATCAAACGCCTTAGCCAGGACAACACACACAGCCACACAGTATATTTTTTTTATCAGTGGTATTCATGTTGAACACTTTAAGTGTTAAAGAGATACACCCAAAGCCCATCATTCAATCACTTTGGAGAAACAAGGTCAGATGGAAAGAGGCCAATAGGAATTTAAGTGTAAAGCGTCACCCTCTGCATAGAACATACCGGCCAAGTCTCCCGTTTTGGCCGTATTTTACCTCTCTTTCCCGCTGTGCTCCTGTATTAGTATTTTCCCATAAATTCAGCAATTACGATAGCAGCATAACAGCTAAAAACTTCCCGTATTCTCAAATCCAAAACTTGACAGGTATGGTAAGGAGTGGGATGACCACTGCTGATTTCCAGTCTTGGGGAAATTTACTGAATTAAATAGAAATGTTAAGTGACGGTTATGGCAACAGCGCGTGCTGCAGACTTCAGAAGGACAGGATAGAGTCCAACCCAGCAGATTTGTGAGGCGTCAGCTATAGAAGTTCTCCTTGTTCCTGTAGGAGTTGACGTGAGACGGGAGGGTTGCTTGAAGGAAGTAAATTTGCTGTTGAATAACAGTGGGTTGACAGCAATGGTGGAAGTGGCAATAAAGAAGGCTTGACCAGACGCAATAAAATGTTTCGTAAGGATATTAATCATTGTGGCTTTGTCTGACATCGAAATCTCTTCAGACTTTATTGCATTGTGAAGATTTGTGTTTATTTTCCATGTTTTTAATTGTCTGCCATAACTTTTGCGGGGACTTTTTTTTTTAAAACAATATTCAGGATCTCATTTTCTAATTGCGCACAACTACTTCTGAGTTGTCTAAAAGATTGCCAGTCAGATTTGGTCTAGGGTGCCATTGAGAGCGCTTGAGACAAATTAATACAGTTAGTTCTGATCCAGGGACTGAAGAACTTTTTTATTTTAGGAAGTTGTTTGTCCAAGATGAAAACAAACATATTTTTGAAATAACACAAAGCACTCTTGACTGATCCAGGTTAGTTTTATCACGATAGAGAAGCGACATTGTGCTCAAATGGATAATCCAATCCGTAATGTCCCACAAGGAATGGACTTTTTCGATGTTAGTTTACAGAATTAAAAAAAATATATATATCATTAGTTATTAAAAATGTTTTTTTTTGGGTGTGCTGTGGTGGCGCAGGGGTTAAGCACAACCCACATATGGAGGCCTTAGTCCTCGACGCAGCTGTCGGAGGTTCAATTCCCGGCCTTGGCGATCTTTGCTGCATGTCTTCCCCCTTCTCTCATTACCCACTTTCCTGTCAATTCACTGTCAAATAAAGGCCACTAGAGCCAAAAAAATCTTTAAAAAAAAAGGTTTTTAATGATCATGAGCCGTTCATTAATTATTTTTACTAAAAACAAAGGTGACGTCAACACTTTGTGTGCAAGAGAGCAATCCCTGCAAAACAAGGTTGTACCATTTAAAAACAAAGGCAAAAATGACTGATGGCGAGTTAACGTTTTGAAACTTCCTGCAGCGTCTTAAATGAGCAAATGATGGCTGTTACGTCGCTAACTGTAAACAGCAATCTTCGTGTTCTCTAAATAATGTAGGACCATTAAGAGTCATGCTGCATAAAACCGAGCTGAGCTTTAAATCTCAACTCTAAGGGATAAAATTGGTTACCGACACTACTCAGTAAGATGTCAACAATTAGACACAAAACACACAACATTCCTAGGGAAAGTTTGAGCAAACCTTGTTAAACTAACTAAAAAAGAAAAGCATGTACTGTATATAACAACATAAATACAGGATAAATTAAACACAAAGAAACAGTAAAACTAAATTTAAAAGCTGTGGTGCAACAGTTTCAGCTCTTTCTCTAACCGTTTTACTTTTGAGCGCTAAATGTTTCTTAGCGTTGGTAGCCAAACTATGAAAACAGATTTTTGTTAAGATTGCACATTCCTTTCCCAACAGAAGTTACATCACGCATGATTAAGCGAGAAAAATGAATGCACCGTGCCATTACGGACACATGTTGGAAAATCTCACCGAAAAGCACTTTTGTTTCATAATGCTGGACTCACGGTGTGTGTTTTGTAAGCTGATACGAATCTCCTCAATTCAATAAAGTACACCTAATCTAGGCGGCATTTAGGCAAATAAGTCCTGTTGTTATTACTACCACTTCTCTGCGCTTCACTTAAAACCAGCAGACCAAGAAAGATCTACAGGTGATTGGAAAGAGTGGACCTCGGCCATGTTGCCAGATGTTCGAGCTGTTGGTAAGGGATCGGTCTGAGCCGCGCGCGTTGTTCTCCCGGGTCTGATATGTTTTAATGATCTCATACCTGTAACACTGGGATCTGCTGCTTCCTGGAATGAGATAATCACACCGCTTAATAGTACGTGAAGTAAAATTTGTAGAAAACATCTGTTTCTTTGTGAATTGGTTGGCGTTGCGAGGATTTTCTCTTTCCTGACCTCTGGTTTTTACTTAATTTCACGTGACTTTTCAATTCACTGATGATATTAAGCCATTAAAATGAATTTGCTTAATTTTCTGCTGAGCAAACCAAAGTGAGCTTCATAGCTGGAAATTACAGCCTGCTTGTCATTTTACCATCAATGGTTCAGTATGTAGCATAAATACCAAACAGTAGCTACATTACCCTACAAATGCAGTTACTGTCGCAGCTACCATCAAAGAATGACTTTCTATGATTTCTAAACAATGGTGGACAGCTTGTTGTGTAGGAAGGAGATGAATGGCTAACTGCTGATATCAGTTTTTACAACAACTTAACTCTGAGTTAATTGACGTCTGATTACTGATAAACTTAACGTTATTCATCCCCTTGACAGATTTAGAATTAACACCAGTGAAACACTACTATATTTCCACTACTACATTTTTAAAAAATCATTTGTCTGTTGTAATAAGCTCCAAGTGTTAGGGGCTGAAGGTCCTCCTTGGCATTATCCTAATATTTTAGTTTCTGCACAGATTCTCTAACGGATTAAAGTAAAGAACAATCTGAATCTACCAGAAACTGGAATAATTTTGAATCTATCTTTATTGTTGTGGCAATACTTCCCCTAAAACACATTGATAATGGTATACCAGAATCTCCCCAATGAGAGACAATAAAGGATATTTCTATTTTATTCTGTTCTGTTAATCTTTACGAAGATGCTACGCTAATATTAGCATGATTCTTCTCCGTTTTGATATGACTTGTTGATGATTTGACTCTGTTTTCTTTGCAGTTGTAGTTGACTGTGTAAGGAGAAACTTATGTACATTTTTCTCTTGTTTTATTGGCTGGTAAGAGTTTGGAATGACGTAAATGTTTATAATTTGCGTCACAGTAGCGTGCAGCCTTGTTGGTTGAACTTTGGAAGATTGTGCCCTTAAAGTAAAGTGTGAACTGGGTCTGGGCCTCTGAGAATTTCTGGTTTCCGTGTGTTGTAGTTAAATACCATTTTGGATTTAAAGACCTGAAACTCGCAAGCACCCAGCTCTCTGAGAAAGGAGTGCATCACTTTAGACATGCTTGAAAACAACACAGCTGAGCTTGCAGCGGAGGAGAGCTATGAAGCTAAGCTGTGTGAGTCAGAGGTCAGTGAGGGAATGAAGATCTGTTTGTGTTCAACACAGCACACAGATACTGTGAGGCATACATCTGCTTTGATCACTCACACACACACACACACACACACATATGCACACACGTATAAAGATCAAGCCATGAAGTTAAGTGTATCATTAAAGCTATCTCGTGACTCCTTCAGGTGTATCATTATTGCGGCTTAAGTCATAACAAATCCGACCGTGCCGATGCAATGTGTATGCATTTAGGGATGTATTGTACCTGTGGCCCTCCGACCTCAATCACTGTTTTCAGCCTTGTGAGTGAGATCAGAA